AGCAAGAGCAGATGTAGAGAATACTCAGGATTTCATGGGGAAGTCCTCACTGAGGATGGGGTTTCTGACCTGGGAAATGAGGAGACAGTGAGAAAGAACGTGAAATGAGGCATTTTCAATGTAACCTGAAGGTTATCTTAGCCACAACAAATAGGTAAAATGTCAATCATTATCCACATCACAATCACGTCAATTCAGAATGGATTTCCAGAAGAAATTATTAAGAAAATATGACAAATTTTGAAAGGACAATTTTAGCATTTGCAGAATAGCATTTTTCTTTTTTAAAGTACACAAAATACAATTGATCAACAAATGTATAAAAAAGCGTTCAACATCTCTAGCAATTAGAGAAATGCGAATCAAAACTCTTCTAAGATTTCATCTCACTCCTGTCAAAATGGCAATCATCAAGAATACAGGAAACAATAAATGTTGGCGAGGATGTGGTGAAAAAGGTACACTCATACACTGCTGGTGGCGCTGCAAGTTGGTGCAACTACTATGGAAAGCAGTATGGAGATTCCTCAGAAAACTGGGAATGGAACCACCATTTGATCCATCTATCCCACTCCTTGGTATATACCCAAAGGGCTTAAAATCAGCATCCTATAGTGACGCATTCACATCAATGTTTATAGCAGCTCAATTCACAGTAGCTAGACTATGGAACCAACATAGGTGTCCCTCAAGAGATGAATGGATAAAGAAAATGTAGTATATATACTCAATGAAATATTATCCAGCTTTGAAGAAGATTGAACTTATGGCAAATGCCAGTAAATAGTTTGAGTTGGAGACTATTATGCTAAGCCAAATAACCAATCCCACAAAACTAAAGGCTGAATGTTTTCCCTAATATGTGGATGCCAATTCACAATAAGTCAGTGGGTACTAGAGAAGAATAGCATTACCTTAGATTAGGTAGAGAGAAGTGATGGGACAGGAGGGCAGGGGATGTGGCAATAGGAAAGATAGTAGAATGAAATACATATTACTGTATGTATAAATGTGACTAATGACCAATATGATTCTGAAACATGAACACTCAGAAAAATGAGAAATTATATCCCATATATGTATGATGTATCACAGTGGATAAATTCTACTCTCATGTATAATTAATTAATACAAATAAAATATTTTTTAAAATACACTACTTTATAGATGACATATTAGATTTTATTAAAATAAAAATTATTTTCTCTAAAAGATATACACATTCTTTTAACTTTTTTTGCTGCTGATGGGGAGAATTTTAAAGGAGGAAAAGTTTATTCAGGGGTTTATGGTTTCAGAAGTCTCCATCCATACAAGGCAGGCTCCGTTCCTCTGGGCTCAAGGTGAGGCAGAACATCATGGCAGAGGAGTGTGACAGAGGGGAGGAACTCACATGAGCAGCAGGAAGCACAGTGAGTTCATTCACCAGAGACAAGTATGAACCCAAAGCCACACCCCAATTCCTACCTCCTCCAGGTGCCCTCCACCACTTCTGTTACCACTCACTTAACCCCTATCAGGGAATTAATTCACTGTATGGGTTAAGACTCTTGCAACCCAATCATTTTTCCTCTGAACCTTCTTGCACTCTCTCACACGTGAGATTTTTGGGGACACCTCACACCAAACCTTAACACACGTGTACAAAGAGACAGCAGATACAGACAGGAAAAAACAGAAAGAAACACCTAGTACAAGACAGAGACAGACATTGAAAAGACAGGAATCTGGACATAAGAACATAATGCTAGATCTGAAACTCAGAGTTTGCTATTTCTACACTGTTGTGGTCTGTGTTTCACCAGATGAGCGGTGGCAGGGAGGGACTGGTGGTGTGAAATTAATGTCTTCTCAGGTGTCTTATGAGATGGTGCCTTGCTCTGCTCCTGCACAGTGATGTTCTAAATTTCACGGTATATGCAAGTGGTCTTGAATATCCCTGATCTTAAATGACTGATGACAGAAGTGGAGAACAGGAGGAAAAAGGA